GGCATTCTCAGCTATGCTGTTTTGAAAAATAAAAATAACAACACATTATTGATCGACGAATTAAATTGCAGATTTACAAAATTGAGGGATTCCAAAAAAATGTTATAAAGCAAAGTGAGAGCTTCTGTTTTCTTAATAATTTTTTTTACATTTCATAAAAAGAATAAGTTGCGCGAGCTTTTCAAAAAAGTATTCTATAATAATATAAAAAATTGTTTTATCAATTGTATAACAATTTCGTGTAACATCGACTGCCTTGCTATAGTCCTCGGAACTTCCATGTGCATCATAGGAAGAAGTTTGTTTAATTCGCTGATGTAAATCATTTGCCTGGGTAACTTGTTGAATTTTACCGTTTAGCGCCATTAGATTGCGATCTCAAGTTTGTTTATTTAACGTTAACGCCTTTATACTGCGATCTCAAGTCTGCAAAGCACAGTATTACTAAATTTGTATATTCCGCATAGATTAACTAATGCGTTAGATTGACTTCAGATTGACCTAAACCATTCTTAAATTTTGAAATGACGTATACTGTTTCTCAATCGGCAAAAAAATTCTAAATCTAATCTAATCTTGTCTATCTATCTAAATATTATTTGTCATGTGTGTATCCGTCTGACCTTGAATCAAGAACGTGACAATATTTTTAAGTTATCGTTATTTGAATATAGTCATATGAGTTTTACAAGTTTTTGTTTTGTCAAAATCTAAAAGTGAAAAAAGCTGACGCAAAAAAAAATTTAATACCGATTGCAGATTAGATAAACGGGTAAGAATTAGCGATTACGTAAAACCAGCTAATTTTTTTTACGGCCCAGGAAATAAGTTGATCATAGCTGAATTTATTCAATACAAGTAAATGGTTAATATAGACATGGTTAAATAAACCAATTTTAATCTCTTCGCACCCCTTAAAATAATCTTGTTTAAACATGTTTAATGATGAATCTAAAGGTATTTTAGATTATATAAGTATTACGTGATTAGAAACCGATAAAGAAGATAACAAACCGGATTACTATCATATAGCTAAATCGACCTATTTCAATGCAAGGGCTTATTTTTATGGATTTGGTATGATAATGAGCTTTGTACTATGAATCGAATTAGGTGCGCAAGCTGTTATATGTAGAATTTTATTCGACAATAATTTACAATAAAAATTTGAAATTCAGGTTTGCTGTTTATACATAGGGGGGTATGTATTCTGGCAGTGTTACAAATAGTTGTGGTGTATGGGTGGGCAGAGTAGTGGTGTATGATACGTTAATTGCATTTGAGTATATAGAACTAGCATACAATACTCAATATATATATATATTATATATTGAGTAGTATCGACTTATTTTTGTTTCTAACATTGATAGGACATTATTTTTCGACAATACATAAAATTTACAATGCATATACAACGCACAAAAATAATACAAAGCTGAAAACTACAGGGTTATTTCTTTTTAATGCTTAGGTTGTCTTCTTTAATATTCTATAGTTGATCTTACGCCCTTTCATTTCAGATGGATCGATAATTCTTTCTGCACATGTGATTTTTTTGAATTGAAGCGGACAGAACTCTAATTTTTGACCACTTCGAATATTCGTTGACTGTAATAAAGAATTTGTTAAAATAGATAATGCAATAATTTGCTCATCAATAGTGATTCAAATTTTTTTGTATACTTGTTTGTGATGTTTAATGCTGGCGAGAAGTTTTAATGTCATCAATAATACGTTGAAAAAAAATTTTCAAGGGATATAATATGCTTATTTAGATTTTCGTATAAATTCTGAATTATTATGAATTACTAAAAAATTTAGAATACTAATCTAGTTTCAATTTCTTCTTTAAATGACTTATTTCCGCACTTGGTCGGTGTAATTTTCGACCCGCTATTCATAAGCTGATAGAAGTGTTTGCTAAAGAAGGCATAGGTGATTGCCTAATTTGATGGTTTCTTGGCTCGCAATTACGAAGTAACAGCTTACATTATTACATTATTAAAATATGTGCCTATAAAATTTTGTATCTTTTATTTTATAAAATAAATATCATTACTTAAATAATATTTTTATAATGATAAACTAATGTCAATTGGATGACCAGATGGATTCACAAATCAAGACCCCAAATGTTTAATGTGACAATGTAAATATATAATATTTGTTTCTAGTTCAAAATGTTCTTATCAATTGGACCTAACTTTCTAAATGATCGCATTTTCTAGGTGCGTGCCTCGTATATTTTATTTGTAACAATGGGCAGAGGCATTTCAGATGCATAAAATAAATAAACATATTTTATTTAGATTTTATTGATATTAATAAAAAATTATACTATGCAATGAAAACCTATGTTAAGAATGTATTCAGTAACAAAATAAAGAATATAAAAAAAAGCACCATGCTAACGATCTACCAATTAAATTGTATATCTGCAGTATAACGTGATCATTAAATTTTTAAAGAAATTGGTAATATCTCAAAATTTTACTTATAAACAACTTTTAATATATTAGTAAAAAAATTCCTTGCGAAATTTTACTATATAATATGTCCTGCCCTAACCTTTAACTATCAACCTTAAACTATTATATAAAAATTGACGTGGATGCGATATACAAGTGCATCGCATATGCGATGTATACATTTATTTTATAAAAAAAATTCACCATTTCATATTTATTATTTTTTCATGAGCTTTGCTCCCAAGGCTTATATTTCTTAATTTTATTGACTAAGTCATCAAAATGTTTTCCGCCAATGGCTTCTTTAGCAGCTTCTTTGAGATATTCGATCGACTGATCATCTACAGCATCTAAAGGAATTTCTTTCTTTAACGTAGCTTGAATTCGATAATAATCAGCATCTTTTATGATTTTTGCTTTATTATTATGAGTTGGGTTTACAAATTCCTTAAAATTATTTTCAGCAAGTTCACATGATGCATCCATCATAAGTGAAACGAGTGGTGCTGCCCACTTAAGCTCTCCTTTATCAGCCAGTGAATTGAACGTTTCCCCTTTAAAAATTCCCGTTCCTAGAGAACATACTACATATTCTACATTTGCATCGTGTTCATCTTGTTTTGCCTTAAGATAAATTTCGAAAACTGGATTATTCATAAAAATACCTCCATCTATATAATTATTAGGCCTTTTATTCTCTATTATTTGTTTGGCTGGAAAATAAGTAGGTGCTGCAGTACTAGCACGAACAACATCAGCTATAGCATAATCAGTATAATCAGGAGAATCATGTTTTAAAAAGTTGTTGAAAAAAACTTCTTCTTTCGTAGTTATATTATAAGATGGAATTAGAACATTTACATTATTCACAATATCTCTAAATTTGCATGGAACTTTTGTATTTTTGTTAGATGGATCTTCATATGAAAACTTATCATATAATAATTTTTCAAACTTATCAACACCATATTTATCTTTAAAAAGATCTGTAAGAAAGTTTATATGCGGAATGTGTGACAAAAAGGTACGTTCAAAAATCTCATATCTTTTTTTTTCATAAAGTTCAACCAGATCTTTAGGCTTGAACTTTGGCTTAGACTTATTGTCTCTTTCTGACACTGTGAGCCCCAAAGCAATAATAGAGCCTGTTGAATTACCAGCCACAAAATGAAATATTTCAGCAATAGATTTGTTTACTCTATTCTCAAGTTCATGGAGTACCATGGCTGGAATTATACCTCGAATCCCTCCCCCATCAATAGAAAGAATCCACACTTTTTCAAAATAAACTTTAATTATTAAAAAAATTTTTTTTTGTATAAAAACAAAAATTCAATATATCTTTACCTCTTTTTGTTATTGATGCCATATAGAAATGTAAAAATTTTTTACGTTATTTGTTATGAAAATTATAATTTGGTTTATATATATATAAATTCGTATATATTTCAATCAAATTCGTAACATTGCACAAATTTAGATTTTGATCCATTTTTGATATCTCATATTCTAGTGATCAATGATTTTGACGCAACGTTACATTTGATTGATACTTATGCAAATTTGATTGGGTAAATCCTATATTATTTTACTAATATGTAAATTTTGTATGTATGTATCTATTTCCTTTTTTATTTTTTCATTCAGGAATTTCGAAGAATGCTCAATGAACGGGACGGGTCAATGAACAGAGTTGTTACGCTAAATATACCAGTATATTCATATGAGTGCTGCACAGAGAAAACCTGTAAGTAAAATGTTATTCATTAATCACTATGCTTAGGGATGGACATTAATCACTATGCTTAGGGATGGACACCATTCGCATGAACATGCTTGTATGCATGCATACGCATGGTCAAAGCAATTTTATGCTCATATGCCCATAAAAGATTAGTTAAAATCAAATATTGGATAATAAATAACTTTTGATTCATTAGTCAGTTTTTGATAATTTTACCGCCAAAATGACAGTCTTGATGAGACGATTCTAACAAGCACAAAAATATTAAAATCCAATCACGAAATCTCGAGATCGTTAAAGGTTTTGTGTTATTTTAAATATTTAAAACCGGGTTTGCTCTCCCCTTTATCTTAAAGGACCGAATAGTAAGAGAAATACAAGTTTTACTGAAAAGTAGAAAAAACAAGATAACGTAAAAAGCTTTCTTACCCAAATTTGTAATTTAAATAACATTACTTAGTTTTGATGTAATAATACATATGTAATAAGAACAATAAATAGCGTCACATGACGTCTCATGATGTGTAATATCAAGAGGTTAAATAAGAAAACAAAAAAAAAAATCGGTTTAACCAAATTTAAATATCTAAAATAACACAACCTTAACGATCTCGACATCCCATAATTGGATTTTAATGATTTTGCATCGAGACGGTCATTTTGTGGCAAAAGCATCAAAAAATGGGCCAGTAAATTTACTATTAAAGATTGTATATATTTTTTAAATTATAGTGCATGCATGCATGCAGCACACCATGCCAAATTTACCCATCTTCTTCCATTTGGCATCGTGTATAACAAATAAATATAATTAAATTAAATAGTGATTAATAATTAAAATTAACATTTAGCACTAAATAATGTATGTACGTAAATACACAAAGTGTGTACGTAAATACTTTATTCATCAATAAAGTGTTTACATAAATAATTCATTGACAATGTGCTACATGATTAATCACCAACCGGAAATTAAAAATTACAATATAGATTATACAGACTTGTTTATACTTTGTCTTAATTGCACTGTACGAAGAATGGATACCGAAATTTTGTTTTTGATGCATTAAAGTTCTGATAATGATAAAGAATGTATATAACATATCAAAAATTCAACGCTTGTAAAATCTGCTGAGGGCTGAAATCTTGACGGACAATTTAATGTTAGAATTTGTTATCAAAATGACATAGCCATTTAAAAAGATGAAAAGAAAGCATTTGTATAATATTTAAAAGCTGCCGAAGGTGAAAGTTCTGTCGGACAATTGAACGTTGGCACTGTTATAAAAGTGGGACAGGAATTTCTGAAGAGAAAAAAAGGCATTTGAATGGTATTTAAAATCTGCTGAAGGTGAGGACAAGCAAATATTGGAAATTGTTAACAAAATGACATAGGTGTTTCTAAAGACATAAAGATGGTGTTTGAATGGTATTTAAAATCTGCTGAAGGCGGAAATCCAGAAGGACAGACAGAAGTTGGACTATGTTATCGAAATGGTATTGGAATACCTCAAAATCAAGAAAAAGCTACTGAATAGTGACGAAAGGCAAAAGCTAATAATAGCAAACAAGAAGCTTATAAAAGCGGAAATTCTAGTATTGATTATTTTTAAAGAATGCTTTAAATGAAAATAAATATTCACTAACATGGATTCAATTTGATAAATTAAAGATCCATAAAAAAATTGGAGGAGGTTTTGCAAGTGTATATTTAGTTCTATGGTATTCGGCTGAGTTATAAAGCCAGTTGCACTTAAATTGCTTCATGGATCACAAAATAATTGCGAAGAACTTTTAAAAGAGGTAGGTTTAATAAGTTTTATATCTAATACAGCATATGTAACTAGGGCTGTTCATCGGTCCGTCCGGTCCGTCTTGGCTCAAAGACTGGCAGTCTTTTAAAAAGTTAGACCGGACTGCGGCCCAGGACTGATTAGGACCGATAATTATGAGACTGGACGGACTGATTACTAGACTAATTAAGTGCCACATAAGCTGCACTAGCCATATTAATTATTATGTATTCTTACTCGTTATTATTATAGACTCCATTCAAATTATTAAGATATTACTCGTTTTATTACATAAAAGCTAACTTTTAACACATATTTAAACCTGTCTATTATTTTTAGGACGCGATGGGAATGCGCACGAATTTTGAGAAGCGCGCATGTGATTTTTGCAGGTATATTTTTAGTGGGATAACTAGCATAATGCAGGCCGATTTATTAGTTAGATGCACGATTATACTAAAAAAGTAAATCCATAAAATCAACCCATAATAGTAACTAATCATTCAATAAATTACAAGAATAAGTTTAATTTGTTCATTTTAATGGCTGTGTTTCGAGAGAATGTGATTAAAT